TCTTCGAGATATGGCTGTTGTCTTACCTTTTCCTCCAGTAATATACTGTGACAATAAATCTGCAATTGCATTGAGTGCCAATCCAGTTTTTCACTCGAGGATCAAACATTTGGACACATATTATCATTTCGTACGGGAGAGAGTTCAAAAGGGGGATCTACAAGTTCAATATCTACCTACTGAAGATCAAACTGCAGACATACTAACTAAGGGTCTACACAGTCCTTCATCTCTCAAGCATTCATTCAATCTCAAGCTTGGAAACCCAGCTAAGATTGAGGGGGGATGTTGACAAAGATATGTACACATCAGCAAGATGGGGTTTTAACAGATGGCGTACACGTCAGCCAAGGATTGTTAGGATTGTGGTTAAACAATTAAAAGGATAAGAAAAGTTAGTTAGGTATTTGTTACTTAGCGATGAAGCGAAGGTTGTAGTATATATTGCAATCTCTCTGTAATTCTCAATCAATCAATACATTCATAGCAGTTCATTCTTTTCTCTTTTCTCTTTCTCTCTCTCTCTCTCTTCTCTATTCTTTCTCTCGTTCTACATTCTTCGGTGAAGGTGTGAACACGGAAAATTCCTGAACGAAAGAGACAAGAACAACGTGCACAAACAAATATTTGTATTTGATGATTTTGGGTTACAATCTCTCTCTATTTTGATCCTCTGATTCAATCTCCGTAAGGTGTGTATTTGTGGATGTGTGATTGATCCAAAGGGCCGTTGGGCTTGATCTAAGGATGAACGTTCTTCAAGGGCCGTGGACTTGATCTTGAAGGTGGATTTGAGCGGATCTTCAAAGGGGCTTTTGGGCTTGATCTTTGAAGAACAGTGATGAACGGATCTCCAAGGGCTTTTGGGCTTGATCTTGAAGAACAGTGATGAACAGGGGGCTTGATCTTGAAGAACGGTTGGATTTTGTCGACGTTGTTCAAAGGGCTTTTGGGCTTGATCTTGGATGAAAACGGTGGTTGGATGATTGATCGTGATGTTTTGATGATCTTGGATGAACGGATGATGATGAACTTTGTCTTCAAGGGGCCGTCGGGGCTTGTCTTGATGAATTGGTGGATGATGATTGTTGATCCAAGGGCCGTTGGGGCTTGATCTTGGAAAGAACGATGAACGAAGAACGAAGAACGCTTTTCTTCAAGGGCCGTCGGGGCTTGATCTTGAAGGTGGAGATGATTGTTGATCCAAGGGCCGTCGAGGCTTGGTCTTGGAAGAACGATGAACGAAGAACGAAGAACACTTTCTTGATTCTTCGGGAACCTGGATGCTTGAGAGCTTCGGAGTTTCAGAGCTTCAGAGCTTCAAGGTGTAATATGAATTGGTTCCCTTTAAATGAATGAAATGGGCTTGTATTTATAGAATTTTCCAAGGCCTAACTTTGAATATAATATTCCAGATGAAATAAGTCGTTTCTGCCAGGTGTTGACACGTGTCCTATTTGATGACTTTTCCAACTCATTTCATTTCAATTTTCTTTGACTCACATGCTACGTGTAACATTTATGTAATACATGAGCGTTGACACTTTGATTTATCGGTCAACATTTATTTACCGAAATTTCGATGTCTACAGAAGGTTTTCTTTGCTTTTGTTTTCTTTTGAGATACTGAGCTTAGTGTTAATACTTAAGACTTTTTCACTTAAGACTTTCAATGGTTGTCACCAAAGTCCATTTTGGTTTGCTTCCTCATATAATCATATGTGTGGCATTTACATTATATTTCACAAAAAAAAACTGAAAAAGAACGAAATATTATATATGCCCATCTCTGTCCTAGTGTTCTCTCCGAACCTCAGTCGGTCAGTCCCAATATCAGAGCCTCCGGCCAACCCAAGTCTCGCCGTCTCCACCGACTATCCCAATAACCCTCAATCCCACCCCGATTCATGCCAATGCTATCAAATATATGGTCATTGCGCTGCAAGAATTACTGGCTGTTGAAGAATATGAGATTTTCTTATTTAAGCTCTAGCTTGCAAAATAATGGGAGAAAAAACTAAGAAGACTTGGAAAGAGACTATAAGAAAAACAATGAAGTATTTTGAACTAACGAAAGACTTGATGCAAAAGCGAGAACAATGACGTTTTAATATTCATATAATCGCTCAACTTAGTGAGATCAGACTTATTTGTTATTGTATTTTTATAAATTGTTTTACCAATTAGATTGTTTCTTTGATCAGACCATTGGTAACTATATATTTGAAGGAATAAATGTGATTCATTATTGTGGGGGTGTCAGGTGTGTATGAAACGCAGTCTTGGATTTGTGGTGCGGCGGCGTGGAGAGACGGGCTAGGGAAGAACTGATGGCTTTTCCACTTTTCCTTTCTTATTTTAATCTTTTTTATTTTTCAGTTTTGGGAAAATTATTATAAAAAAAACTTTGATGACCATGTGGCACAGTATCATTGGTTAATTAAGACAGCAATGGACATTACTGAGCAGCACATGCAACTTTTTAACAGAACCTGGATAAAATTTTAATGAGAAATTTAACGAAAAGCACCCGGTACTGTTCACTTTAACGAAAAACCACATTTTTACACTAAAAAGTCAATCCTGGTACTATTCACTTTACCCTTTATTTTGTCCTTATCATTAAAACTCAAAGTTTTCAAGTTCTTTTCATTAATTTTCCTAATTTTAATTTGGAACAAAGATTACTAACCGACTACACCACAAGAATATGATTACTAACTTCTTTACCACGCAGACGAATAAATTATCCTTAAACATAACTAGCTAGTTTGTTTACTCTCTAAATTAAAGGCCAATTAAATAGGAAAAAGACTTGTAGTTTAGAGAGACAGTTTCTGCACATACATACCATAAGCACCCAAAATCCCAACCCCATGGAGAAACACCCTAGCTTCATATATAATTAACATGCATGCATTACATTACATGAAATACATGTAAGATATTTCTGAAATCATAAGAATAACAATAAGAGATTAGGATCACAGATTTGATAAATCAAAATTACAATAAATCAATTACAATTTACTTATCTTTGGAATATGGAAGACATGGCTCTTGCGGATGACAAATGAGTCTTCTACTTTCAACAAGCGGAAGTGTTCCAGCAATAATAGGGTTTGCTCGGAATGGAACGTGTGTTTTGTGAAAGCAGGGACACCCTTAATATAGTGATTAGGGTTCCCCTAATTCCGCCTATTATAGTAATTAGAGGAATACACCAAATCACCATTTATTCTTAATGTTGTCCCACCAAGGCATGTACAATATGTCCTACTTAATTAGAGTTTCAATTAGTCAACTAAATATATCTTGGTTCCATGATTCTTGCCAACCAATATTGAATCACATTAAAAGCCAAATATCTTGAAGATCAAGTTATTTGTCTTTCAAGTAATTCGATTCATAATAATTGACAACTCAACATGAGTCTTACAATACAAGCTTCACTAAAACATACTATAATTAAATCCACAGTAAAGAAACACCACCACTCCATTCAATGGAAACGCTGAGGGCCTCCTGTTCCCCGGCTCCTTGGGGGAGTTGATGAAGTTATTTCTCGATGAGAGTTTATCAAGCAGAGTGAAAATTTCATTCTTGACATGCTTCTAGTATGTATAAAAAGTTCTTCCACAATAGTGTTTTATTATGCGTGAAATTTTTATTTAGCTATTGATGTCGTCGAAATTATTGTGCGTAAAATGTCTTTCTTAATAGGTGTCATACATGTGCATAAAGTTTTTTCTAACAATAGTAATGTAAAATTTCTTTTTGGACAAGCATTTGACATGCAAAGAAATTTTTTTATCGTGACCACATGATCGACATGCACAAATTTTTTTTCTAACCACAGTAATTGAGAAATTTCTTCTTTGACGAGCATCCAACATCCACAAAAAGTTCTTTCTAACTACAGTAACTGTGTAATTTCTTCTTTGACAAGCATCCGACATGCATAAAAATTTCTTTCTTGATATTGATGTTTTCTTAATTACCATGTCAAATTTCTTTTTTGACAAGTGTCAGAGATGCACAATAAGACCACAAAGGTGAAATTACTTTTTTGACAAACGTCCGACATGCATAGAAAGTTATTTCTTATCTCAGTAAACATTATGTTTAACTGATCTGTCTTATTTCAATAAACGTTAACATTACATCTAACTGACCTTTCTTATCTTAGTACACGTTACGTATAACTGATGTTTGCATGTGTGCAGAAAGTTATTTCTTTTTTTGACAAATTTCCGACATGCATGGAAAGTTATTTCTTATACCCCCAGTAAACGTTATGTCTAACAAGCCTTCTTATCTCAGTAAACGTTACGTCAAACTGGCTTGCCTTATCTCAGTATACGTTACGTCTAATTGGCATACGCCTAACTGGCTTTTCTTATCTTAGTAAACGTTACGTCTAATTTGTGTCATTTCTTATCTCAGTAAACGTTAGGTCTAACTGGCATACGTTTAACTGGCCTTTCTTATCTCACTAAACGTTACGTCTTACTGCTGTCTGACGTGCAAACATTGGTTTTAACCAAAATAATGTGAAATTTCTTTTTGGGCAATCCCCCGACATGCAAAGAAAGTTCTTTCTTTAAGTCAAACCTTACCATTAAATAAAAATCAAGTCATTATCCACTTTTACCCATTTCTTATCCTTAAATTAGAAGCAATGAACACAGCAACATCATTTAATCTTCAAATTAAAGGCCAACTAAAATAGGGAAATGGCTTATAATTAAGAGTGAGATAGTTTCTGCACATACATACCAAAAGCACCCAAAATTCCAACCCCATAGAGAAAGACCCACCCCAGCTTTGCTAGCTTCATATAATAATTAACATGCATGCATTACATATTATAAATAATACTAGCTTCATTACACACTCTAATTAAAGCCAGACTCCCATCTTTTATTCATTAATTCTATCTTCTTATTCCTTGGTGAAAACAACACCACACCATCCGCCCTAGTTATATATGAAAACGCTCAGCGCCTCCTGTTTGCTGGCTCCTTCTGTGAGTTGAAGTAGACGGTGGAAACCGGCAGTCCAAGGTCGAGCTGCGCCGCAAAGAAGCGGGTGTTGAAATGGGCACGAGAGGGTGGCTGCTCCACCAACCCCATCGGAGCCTTCTGCTGAAACAGCACCAGAATGTAGCGGTGAATTCCCACTGGTGGCCTCGGACCAACGTACGGCAGTATCTCCTTCCCTGCAATAATTATTTTGTTATTTTATTTATTGATTGTTAGCTCAAATTATTAGTCTTGTTACATGTTATTATTAAACCAAAATTTAGCTTTTTTTGTTAGGAAAAAATCAAAATTAATTTGAGAGCTTGATACTGAAAAAAAAAAAATTGTGCCACGTGGGTGAGGTTACCACATCAACAAGGTAACCTTGACAAGTGGCACGTACGTGTCATTAAGAGCAAAGGTGTTACCAGGATGAACTACGTGTCATCTTTGCTATCCATGCAAAGACAAAAACACCATTTAGGAAAAAATTTAAAAACTATTTTATTCTTAATTCGAGTACTTAAACAAAAGAAAAAGAATTGTGCGCAAATAAAAAAAAAATACATGGAGTAATTAGGTTTTCATCCTTATTTTTACTACTCTATTTTTACTACTCTATTGATTAAAACCTTATTACTTTTCAATTTTTAATCAAGGTCCTTTGTATTAATAATATCATTAATTATTTCAATAATAAAATATTTTTTATTTCTAAATATATTCATTTAATATTAAAAATATTACAATTAGTATATTTATATTTATGGCTAAATTTTTTATCATATATTTTTAATTTTTAGTTTGTACCCATTTTTAATTTGCAACCCTTTTTTAATTTGTACCAATTTTCCTTTCAATTTTAATTTGTACCCATATATTAATTTCTTTTTGTGCCCATATTTTTTAAAGTTTTATTTGTATTGTACCCATATTTTTTTATTTATTTGTACCCATTTTTATTTTTGCTAAATGTACCCATTTTGAAGAATGTACCCATGTTTTGATACAATAATTTTTTGGTTATTTTTTATGAATGTACCCATGTTTACACACACACAATAGTATATTTATATTTTAATATTCTTAATCCCACAAATTATGGTTTTTTATTTAAAATCTCATTACTATAAACAACTATAAATTTTAATTTTTAATTTAAAAAATATAGTAACGTACATAGAAATAAATTATCAATTAATTTCAGGGACTTGGATCAAAAATTGAAAACCAACAAGGTTTCAGTCAAATACTATTCATAACTAGGGACCGCATCCAAAGTCTCCCAAAATACATTGACAAATTGAAATGGCATGATACACGACACGTGGTTATGGTAAATTGTTATACCCAATTTGGGCAGTTTTGCGGCTAGTGACAGATGTTTATGAGGTATAGGAGTGAAAACATGCACGGTTTTTCGAGAATATGGGGACATCAAATGAGGTGATGTAACCCTGAAAATATTTTATGATGTTTTCATAAATAATCTGAAAACATTTGAAGCCAAAGACATGAATAATGATTCCGCTTGGAAACGAGAGTTTTGCCAGAGATTCTCTCTTTGACAGTGAAAAGAATGGAATAAAGTTTCTGCTCGAAGATTTATGTGATAAGGTTTCATAGTTGAGGTAATTTGTGTTCATCCCGGCTCCGCGTCAGACGAACGGTGTGTTACAGGTGGTGTGGCGAGGCATGCAGAGAGAGAAGCGGTGCAGAGCAAAAAAAATAGAGAGATTTGAAAACGTGGTGGGTAAGAGAGTGAGAGACAGGGTAGGGGAGAGAGATGTCAACACATCTTGGCTGATTTTTTTTTTCATCTCTCCATTCACTCCTGGTCGAGATTCTGTCAACGCGCTATCGATGACAGCTTAGGCAGCTGTTGGCTCTACCTCTCATGGCAGATATCAGACTCCGATCGCTGGATATATGCGACAACCCGACAGTGTGGGCATAGTATATTATCATTAAGTTGTCCTAGGAGCGTATCACGCTCCGACTAGAATTACATCGAGACGGACAGTGATTAGTAGAGACAAAACCAACTTCGTTTAGAAAATGACCCTAAACAATGCAAAATGATACATCCGGTAATAAACTAAAACGGCCATTCCTGATTTTAATGAAATTTGTCTACAAAAGAGAGATACCTCGGTAGGCCTTTGATTCCGAGCTCAACAGCGCTATAATGACACCTGTTCTGGCACATACCTAATGCATCTATGCCTCACTCTGGGAAGCGCCGGTGCGGCCCAGAGACCATCTAAGGCATTACAGACTGTATTGGGTCACCTGTACAAATCTCCTTAGTCTCCCTTACCTGACAGCGGCCATGTTCCCTCTTAAGAAGCTTGCCGCGGAGGATGCCTGATAGCTAATGTAATAGCAACTAGGGTCTGTGATCAAGGGGTCTTCGTTATTTATAGTTATCGCGGCAATTAACTAGTATATGCAACAATCGCAATATCCAAAATGTAACTGAAGAAACAGGCATAGAATCGTAACCATCCTATAGAGCATACTCAAGAAAGGCTTCGTATAGTGTCATAAGGTCAATACCAGTACGATATCTCGTGCAGTGTGTGACCTGGTCTAATAGTTTGTCCCGTTGGTCTGGAGAGTCAAATTAAGCCGCAGGTCCCAATCCTGGTGGTGCCCTTCCGTCAATTCCTTTAGTTTCAGCCTTGCGACCTTACTCCCCCCGGAACCAAAAACTTGATTTCTCATAGTGCCGGCGGGGAGTCTAAAAGTACATTCCGCCATCCCTGGTCGGCATCGTTTTGGTTGAGACTTAGGTGAACGAGATAGACTTCTAGATCGGGTCTCGGACCCCCAAACAGACATTCCCAGTGGCTTGGGATTAATTGATGAAAATACGTGCGTTTTCGCTGGGGCAAATCGAGTGTGCGGCTCGCACGGCTAGGATTACGCCCTCTCCGAGTAGAAATGTCCTATGGTGAGTTTGCTGCGCGTTGACTTAGTTGCACAATAGGATTAGCTTTGATGTACAATCGGCAGCCCCTGTAGCGATCACCCATGCTTGGATACCAAATACGATAGACACAGATCACTGTCCCAGCAAGGCCAACAGAATTAGGAACGCGGTAACCGGTAGTGGATGTTATCCCATTGCAATTATTTCAGAGCGTAACGGCATATGTCTCCACGCGACATACTAAATCGTCTCAGAAGTCACATACCGGCGCGCGACAAACCCGTAAAAGGGCACGGAGACCTCGGGACAGGAATTGCAAAGGGCATGCGAATCAGGAGGCGGTACTTAGGAAACGCTTAGAGAGCAAAACACAGTAGGGAAACGCACAAAGGGAAAGCAGCAACTCATGGCTGAGACAAACATAAGCCAGAAAACGGCAAAGAAACACTCGCTCCTCCTGGAGTGAGGGGAGAGGAGGAGTAGTCGGACCCTATACCCATAAAGGTTCCAACTACAGGTATAAGTATGTTTGTAAAACTGTGGGCAAAAAATAAAAAAATAATATTTAATCACAATATAATTTATGAGGAACTGAAGTGAAAATGTGCCCCGCTGGTCTCGGTGCTTAGGCAGCCATAGATGTTGTCCGCTCCTAAAATTGTATATCGATGCCGTTGACAAGTAGATGTATTCAAAAGAGTTCGAAATAGAATATCGCCAGAAGTTAGCAAACCCAGGCTCTGATACAATGACGCACCCCTGGAGGGTACTTTGAACACCATCTTGATTTCACTTGTAGCATGAGCTACCCTGACTCCCGTTGTCAGTACATCGTTGCCTGTATCAAGACCCTCATCTGCCCGCGCTCTGTCTTAGGCCTACTGTTATTTAGATGTGGTAGAGAGCCGTGGTGCTCATCTCGTGCCTGGGGAATCGTATACCAATTCTCGTGGTTTCACGTGTCCGTCTGTCCCTTCCTATGTGTCTTACCGCGCATTATTCCTCTATCACACCCGAGTCGATTGTAAAAGTCTGTAGGTGTGACACAATGCACTCGATTTGTAAATAGAAGTGAACGTCAGGCCGCAGGGCACGTATGGAATGTGACCGGATCCCGTCGACCGGATTCCTGCAATGATCGATACAGGCACCACGGCAGAGCCCGCTCGACCTTTTATCTTAACAAATGCGTCCTTCCAGGAAGTAGTCGGTATTGTGCACGTATAGCTCTAGATACTAACTTGAGACAAGGTCCGAGAGAGATATGAGCAGGGTACATTTTCAAACCCAGGACACCCTATAATGAGTATGAGCCATTTCCAGTCACAGCTGGAATCAACTTACACGGGCTGACCTGTTTAAGATATCATATAGACAATACTATATATGTACTATATAAGCCAGCGAATACAACCATAAGTCATATAGATTTGCGAACACTAACATCGAGAATCATAAGATAGCCGACGACGCTATACTGACATTCGAGACCGACGACCTAGTTATTAGACACATACAGGACTCACTGCACGAAACGACCCAATTTTGTGGGCACTTGACGTTCTTGTTTATTCGCATCAACGATCAAAGCCGATCGGGTACGATCGGAGGCTCGTAATTATGACACAACGGCCCGCTTCTAAATCCCACGCATCATTCGAGATTCGTTCGCGGAAACTCACGCGTACCACCGTAAAAGGTCATTTTCGCAAATCGCTCTTTCTGTAATTCAAATGTAAGCAGAGTGGTGCGTGTGATCAACGGAGGAAAATATCAGTGAAAAGAACACACTACGAACACTCGGATGTCTAATGACCTAAGCTTTTGTCGCAGACGAAAGGCCTCCGCAACGGATGCAAAAAGAAACTGGATCGATACGTGATGGTCACAGATGCGCAGATTGCCCATTCTACGTATGAAGAATTAGCCTACAAAAAAAACAGAAAAACACTCTCCAATCTGCGCAAGCTCATATAAGCGATACAAAGGTATGAACGCAGTTTATCGCATCCGAAGCGGTGTCTCGAAGATCAGCAACACGTCAAGATGCAAGCACGTGCGAGAGCACTGCGTCGATTATCTGAGACGAGTGACTCATATCTCATTATACAGCTCGTCCCGGTATAGTCTTTAGCCCGCACGCGCCAATCGATTATAATTACATCGCGTCAGCAAGCATACCACTCACTCGACTATCCCACCCATAAGGTAATTAAGTGAGAGTGCTAGGGCCTGAAAGTGACAGAAATTTGTAACTATATACC